AGAAAATATTTGCCCCATGCAGTATGGTAAATTTACTAATTACAGAACTTTTTAATCCATACTTTTCACTTCTGAAGGTAAAACCAAAGGAAAGAGGCAAAGCCTGATAGCATTGGATCTGCAACTGGACAATGTGCTTTCCTAGATATAAACTCTCAGCTCACATGTGCTGAATCTGAGCCATAAGGCAAGATTCAAAATAATATGCATCTCAATCTTTTATTTTCAACAATGAAAGTGTAACTGGGAAAAATGCATTTCTCTTTCAGTGAGTTCAACTCATGCCTACCCAAAGCTGGCTCCATACCGACCAGCAGGACAGCTCCTCTCTCCCCCTTTGCTGCTCTCAGTCTTGTTGAATACCTGTTTCACCTGCATTGTTCATATCTGTGCATTTCTCTATGTGAAGCAGCAGCCCTGGTACTGTGAGGTCTACAGATACAGGTAATGGTTAGTTCCTTACTTTTCCTTTCCGAAGGTGATACGATGACGACCAATGACATTGTACAACTGGGTTTGAACTATACCCTAACATTTTAATTAACAAAAGTTGTGACTCCACACTGCAAAATACCAATGGTGAGATAGATCACAGAACACAGTTGTTGGGTGGAGTCCTGTGGTGAGCCATGTGGAATGGATAGGAGAACATTTTACATTGGTTGTTGAGGTATAGATCTGATAGTTGGTTGGCTGAATAAACTCCCTGGTAGATTGGATATCATATAGACCAGAGGTGGGCAAGCTTTTCTTGTAGAGGGACAGATGGTAAATAGTTTTGGCTTTGTGGGCTAGATGGTCTCTGTTGCAACTACTCAACTCTACTGTTAGAGTGAAAAAGCAGCCATAGACAGACAACATGTAAACAAGTGGGTGTGACTATGTTCCATAGAACTTCATTCACAAAAACAGTTGGTGGGTTGGATTTCATGAATGGCCTGAAGCCAGTTGGCCCCTGATAGGTAAGAGATTTGCTTAAATTACTTTTGGAAAATCTTTCCAATTCCCAGAGCTTTAATTTCTTTAACTATAGATTAAGGATTAGCTGAGGTGAAATATGCCATAGATGTTTAACTTATTTTTTCCATTAAAGCCTGCCTGACCTCCAAAAGGAAAGGCAAGCCAAGTGCTATTCTTTTAGAAGTCGGGCTTGTACAAACGCCCCCTCACTCCACTGTGGTTGTGAAGGCATCAGAACTCCAGGAACCAGTGAAAGATAGTTTGAAAAGTACCGAATGATGTCTAAAGTTGTCATTTAGACCTCAAAGTCAGAAATTCAACTACTACTTGAAATATGGAAGTCATTTTTGTTTCAAAACCAGATTTCCCCCCAAATTGAAGTGCACATATTCAGAGAAGTAAAGGTCTGATGAAGTCCAGGAGACAACATGGTGTAGGCAAAGGGTGATGGATGGGTAGTCCTGCCTCTATCATTAATTAGCTAAGTCTTATTAGTCCTCAGCTTTCTTATCTGCAATGTAAGTATATTGAATTAGATACCCTAGTTTAGTGTTAGACTCTGTACTTCAACCCTTCTAGTTTATCTGTCCACTTTGTGCAAGAATGCTTTCTTAACTACTTATTGTCTCATTAATATATTAAGCAACCTTAAACTCAACATCTCCTCTATGCAAAACACATTTTAGAATCCAGGGAGCCAAGAATAATAAGACTTAAGTCTTGCATTTGAGGTCACAATTAGAAAAGAAAAGTTACTTATTAACAATTATAATAGTAAAAAGTTTCAAGCTGAATAAGAAAACTGTTGGAAACTGATTTGTAGGTTTGATACTGAAAAAAATAAACATTGCGCAAAGCTCCATCAGAAGTGGGAAAGCCCATATCTTAAATATTTTCCTGAGCAAATGCTATGTGGCATCACTGTATTAGGTGCTAAGGATTTGCTGAAAATCTGAGTAAAACAACATAAATAAAGAAATAAAACCAAAAGGAAAACTCCATATTCAAGGAACTCTAATCCCAGGGCTGGAAAATAAAAACATGTGAATGAATACTTGCAAAACAATGCAGCACTAAGAGGGGGAAATGGGGGCACCGGTTATGCTGGCCAGCAAATGTAAAAACATTCAGAAGGAATAGCACATATGACCCCAGAGGTATGCAAATGGTGATTTGTGAATGTGTGTGTGTGTGTGGGGGGGGGGAGCGGGGCAGGGAATATTCCTTTATGTTCAGAATATAAGGCGTCTATAAGGACTAGCAAAAGATAAGGCTGGAAAGAGACATTGAAATCAGAGTCTGGAGGTCTTCTGGACCTGCCTAGGAAGTTTCAACTTAATTTATTGGCAAAACAAAGCCATAAACACTCACAAGCAGCAGAGTGTTATGTTCAAATCCTCTGGAAGAGCCTTTGGTTGTGTGAAGAGAGAGTGGGCAGATTTAAAATCAGGGCTCAGCAAACCCCATCTAGCCTGATCTTGGATGCTAAGCAGGGTCAGGCTTGGTTGGTACTTGGATGGGAGACCCACACACACTTTTACTCTGAATTAAAAGGAATTCCATAGAAAATGGCCACTCAAGCCCTTTCGATACAGATCACTTTTTCTAAATGGAGTGCTGCACAAAGAACAATCTTGACTTCCTCCGAATTTTATTTCTGTTTTGACATTGCAAGAGCTTTATGTCTTGGTAGTTATTGGCTGGAACAGTTTGAAAGCTGAGGTTCTGTGGTAGCGGTAAACTAATTTTTTCCCACCAGCTGGAGAAAAATGAAATAAAAAGCCCCATAAATGCTGGTGATTCTTTTGTAGTGAGTGCTTTCTGGACAACCAAAGTAATTTCTCAACAAATATGAGTTTGGAAAGAAACTGGACTGGAAATGCAACTCTGATTCCTGGTTCAATTTTAAGTTTTGAGACTACCACACTGTGGCCCATCGGGACCATTAACTGTATCACAGTAGCATTTATCTTTTCTAAGGGAAAGCCATTTCGAAAACCCATCTACACAAACTGTAAGTATATGAAGTTTACTTTTTCTTTTTGAATATTATTTTTCTCCTCCCCCTCCATCTCCCCAGAAGTGCAACTCACTGAGGTGATTAGCTGAGAGGGGAACCATTGCATTGATCTAAAATTGAGTACTAAATAGTAATTTTCATGGGTGGAAGAGCCCATGGGAGAAACCTGCTCATTGGCATGGAAGCACATGCACTATTGAATTGTCACGTGAGTCCTGCCCTATTGTGAGCCATCAAGAAGGAACTTAAGTACCTATGTATATGTCAAAATATTTTGTAAAAGTCCTTCCAACCAAGTCAAATATAACCTTGTAATAACATAACATTGAGGGAGTTACTTTAACAATTCTGTGCATCTCTTTAATCACCAGTGAGGATGAACATGTACCCATGTTATTAGCCATTTCTTCCTTTCTGAATTTCATTTACATTTTTATTAATTTGTTTCTATTGGGTTACTGTTATATTTCTTATTTATTTGTATGAGCTGTTTATCCTTTGGGATTTTTCCATTGCCTTTATGCACAATTTTTTTCTCATTGCAAAATCAGGTTATCATTTGTTTAATTTTTTAAAAATTTCTTTTAATGCTTTTTAAAACCTAATGTTAATTTGGGATATAATTCAAACTAGTTTATCCAATTAGTCCCTAGTTTTCCCAGCAGATTTTATTATTTAATATTTCATTTAGTCACTTATTTCTCAACTCAATGTAATGCCACCATTATCATAACTATATTCATGTATATATTTATGGTTTTCCCATATGCATAATTTATATTATGTAAATTTTAATATTATATTTATGTTATATACCAGGAGTTAGGAACATCTGGCCATGGGCCATATACTAGTAAGGCCTGGGAAATCATTTGGTCTGGCCCTACCAAGGCATTAGGGGTGAGTTAATTAAATGTTTGACCAAATATAGCAGACTACTTTTTAATTTAATAATTTGTATGGTCCACAAATTATATTATAAATATCCAAATGGCCCTTGGCAGAAAAAAGGTTCCCCACCTAGTTACACTATATATTAGTTTTTATAAGATTAATATTTTCTATACTACCTGCCCTGTTTTATTGATATGCCAGCCTATTCTTGATTTAACCACTTGGCTTTAGAAATTAGACTTTTATATATTTTTATAAGTAGTAAGGTTGGTGTATCCTTGTTACTCTTCATTTAAAAAAATATTTATTACTTTTCTTTCTATTTTATCCTTCCAGAAAAACTCTAGAATAAATTGTCAAGTTTTTTAAAAAAAATTCCCTTTGGGAAAAATGTATTTGTTTACACACTTTAATCTCCACATTTAAGAACATATCATGTCTCTCTATATCTTTATGCTTCCTGTTATATCTCTTAGTAAATATTTGTTGTGTTCTGCACTATAGATCCTGCACACTTATTTAAGAAACTAATCCTGTACTTTTTTGTATATTCTCTGTCTAACAGCAGAGTCCAGAATTTTCAAGACAATGTTAAATAATAGTGGTCATAGCAGATAGTTCTACTCAGGCTTCTGAAAACTACTAGAACTATTTTTATTAATAAATATAATAAAACATAATAATTATATTTACTTATAAATATCATGAAATTATCCTATTTCCAATAATTAGAAGTGTGTTGTTTTTTGTTTTTTTAAAAATATATTTTATTGATTTTTTATAGAGAGGAAGGGGGAGGAATAGAGAGTTAGAAACATCGATGAGAGAGAAACATCGATCAGCTGCCTCCTGCACACCTCCTACTGGGGATGTGCTTGCAACCAAGGTATATGCCCTTGACTGGAATCGAATCTGGGGCCCTTCAGTCCGCAGGCCAATGCTCCATCCACCGAGCCAACCGGCTAGCGCTAGAAGTGTGTTTTAAAATCCAGAATGGGTGATTCATTTCATCAAACACATTCCTGTCACCTACTGAGACAATTATGCTCTTTGTTGTCCTGGTGACCAAGTGCTAGTCTATTATATTAATAAACTTGACATTAAATCATCTTCACAGTCTTGATCAAACCCCACTTCCTTGTGGTGGATTATAAATTTTACTAAATTAAATTTTTTACTTTTCTATATCTACACTAGAGGTCTGGTACACAAATTTGTGTATGGGTGGGGGCCAGGCAGGTGTGGGGAGGGGCTGAGGGCAGTTGGCCAGCCAGCCCCACCCCCGATCAGGGTGTTGGGGGCCAATCAGGGGCCAGGCCAACCAGGGGGTGGGGCCGATTAGGGCCTGGATCAGGCTGGTTGGCTGCCACAGTGCCCGTCATAGCCACTGGTTGTTCTGGTCATTCTGGCCATTCCACCATTCCAGTCGCTGGACTTTTATATATATACTAGAGGCCCGGTGCACAAAAATTTGTGCACTCGGGGGGGCGGGGGGGGTGTCCTTCAACCCGCCCTGTGCCCTCTCGCAGTCTGGGACCCCTCGGGAGAGACCGC